CTCCCCGGCCCCAACACCTCCAATCTTATCCCACCCAAACACCTTGCACCAATTAGAGCTCTGAGCCAGTGGCCTGGGGCCCTCTCCCACCCACCTCACCCCCCTGCCCTCCACAGAGAGTGGTCTCCTTACTATAGGGAAGCTGCCAGCCATCTCTTGACTCCCTGCCCCCATCCAGTTGGGGGCCAAACTTCACTGCAGTTTCTCACATGTAGCCCTGGTCCCTCAACCCTGTCACTGCTATTCCAGTCCAGGGTTGAGCCCCTCCCCCAGACTGTGTCTTAGTGCTCCAGAGGGTCTCAGAGACTCCAGCTACCCCTCTTCCTTGCCACCACTACCTGTCTTGTGAGCCTGTGCCATCTGTCCCACAGAAATCCTCTCTACTGGTCCCTGCTTGTGCTAAGCTCTTCTCTTTAGGCCACTCTTGGGTCTCCAAAGCAATGATGACACCAACTGAATGCTTGGCTCTTTCTGACAGTCCTTCCCACAGCTACCCTCTCCCTGTATCTCTTCTTTCTTCTGGGCCCCTCCCCAACGCAGTCTCTCTTTCCAATTCAGGAAACATTTAATGGAGCACTTCGTGAATGTAAGGCTCTGCACTTGGCACTGGGGACACATTTTGAGGAGTCCTGGTTCTCAGGGTGCACAAGGAACATTAGGAGCTCCCAGAGTCAGTGAGAGGCACTGCCAGTGGAATTAGTGCCAGGGAAGCTCCGCAGTGGCTACTTAATTTCCTTGCGTCTCCGTCTCCCTCTCTCCCAGGTTCCTTCTCTTTCCTGCCATTTCCTCAGCAGCTGCGGCCCTGGGCACCTGCAGAAGCATCCTCCCAGCCAGGGTTTCTTTCACCAGCTTGCCTCCCTCCAACTCCCTGGTCTTTCTATGAGACCAGGGATCCTACCCTTTCTGGGAATGCAGCCTTCTGCCTGCTTGGGGCTCCTTTTGGACAAGTTTGCTGGGATTTGCCTGTGACAGGGAGCTAGCAAGGGGCCAGTCCCAGGGGAAAGGGGAGGTGGTCAGGGCTGGAGAGGTACAAAAGTGCAGGAGCAAAGGACAGAGGCAGGCGGGTGAGGAAAGTCCTAGCCTTAGGGGAGTTTCATCTTCTGTGCAATGCGGGCCACGTAGTCTCGAGAGGAAATGTGATTAAACGAGATAGAGAGAGAGAGAGAGAGAGAGAGAGAGAGAGAGAGAGAGAGAGAGACAGAGAGACAGAGACACAGAAACAGAGAGACAGAGACAGAAAGAGACAGAGACAGAGAGAGACAAAGACAGAGAGAAAGACACAGAGAGAGGAGAGACTTATGTCACACTGGCAGCCACTCCCCCTCATCAGCCTCGCCATCCGGTCCCATAGAACCACTGAGCTGGGGACTTTCAGTCTCCCCTGAGACTGGCCCGTGGACTCAGCGCTGGAAGAGTGGGCAGTCTGAGCCTGTGCCCACGCCAGTTAGCTGGGTCGAAGGGAGGAGGTGTGAAGTCTGTTTGTACTAAGTACCCAATGGTGACCAGTTCAGCTTCACGAAATTACAGTACTCGAAGCTTGGGAACCCCAGGGCAGTAGGGGCATATCAGGACCCCTGGCCTTGGGCTCCACAAGTCACAGCTTAGTTTTCGGAGCCCCAGCAGGGCTTCTCCCAACCGCCCCTTTTCTAACCTCCAGTGTTGAGCTGCAGGTGCCGCAGCCCCCTCCCCCAGCCTCAGTAACGCCCCCGGGCCACGGAGGGGGGGGTGGGCGACTGTGGACCTTTGTGACTCTAGCCGGCCGCGGGCGTTCGCATCCAGGCACCCTGGGAGCTCTGTGGAGACCCGGGGGGGAGGGGCGGGGGCTCCCTTCCCAGCCTCAAGTCAGGGGACGTAGGGATGTGAGGGAGAGCAGGGGGTGTGACAATTCAGCAGAGGTCGGGACGTACCACGGAGCCCAGTGACGGGGGGGGCAGAGGACATGGTCACCGAGGGGAGCCCCCGCCCCCCTTGGTAGAGGCCTAAGGCTGGGGTTGCGGGGAGAATTGGAACTGGGCTCGCTGGAAGGGGAGGCAGCGCGTTAAATCCGCCCCCTCCCCACAGCCTACTTCGGGCGGGTGGAGATAGCCGAGAGGTTGAGCGTCGGCAAGGGGGCCCCTCCCTTGCTCCTCCCCCCACCGGACTTGGTCGCGCCCAAAGTGTAACACTTTCTCTTTGTCGAGGAGCTCCTCTGTTTCCTGTGCAGTAGCTCCCATTGCGGCGGCACCCGTGGCAGCCCTGGCGGACGCAGGACCGATGGCAGCGACCGATATAGCTCGCCAGGTGGTGAGTGCGGGGCTTGGATACCGGCTCCTGGGCCAGGGCCGGGAAGTACTGAGGAGACTTGGCGGCCGTCTCGGCCACCGTGAGGGGGGGGGGGCAATGGGCAGCACCTCGGAGCCGAGGCAAGGCGGGACTTTGGCTCTCGGAGTCGGTGGCTCTCGGGGTCGGCGGTTGGGTCTCCCAGCCTGTCGTGGAGAACGGTAGTGGCGGGCAGGAGGGCGGGCAGGCGGGGGGCTCTGGCAAAGCCTGTGAGCGGGCAACTCAACTTGCCCAGCCCGAGAGCTGCAGTAAGCGCCACCGCCTCCCTCGCTGCAGCTGCCGCCCCGCCGCTGGGGCGTTGTCGAATGAATGGCTGCACAAACCCCTGACCACCTCCCCACTCCAACCCCTGGCCCCCTTGCCTTGCTGGGGCCCTGCGCACAGCTGCGGGCTAGGACTTCAGCTAGCGCTAGAAGAGGGATGTAGGGCTAGGCTTAGCCTGGGGCTCTAGGTAGAGAGTGTGAGGGGGGCGGGGAGGTGACTGGCTGGAGTAGGGTTTCTCCATATGCATTACATATGTGACTGCGTCTGTGTGTCTGTCGGTGTGCGCGCGTATATGTGCACGCGTGCGCCCTCATGTCTTCCCTTGGCGGGCGGCAGTGGCACCCTGGTTGTGTCTGTGACCCTAGAAGAGATTGGGTTCACCTCTGTGGTGCATATGGGCTTAACTGAATGCCTCTGTGTCTAATTGTGTTGTGTGCCTCTGGGTCCCATCTGTGCGTCTGTGTGGGGCGCAGGCTTGTCTATAGGTGGTTGGCTTCGTCTTCTGGCGTGTTTCAGAGCGGACCTCTGGGGGTCTGTCTCAAGTGTGCGTTCGGTGTAAGTGGGCTTGTGTGCCAGAACTTGTGGAGCTGGGTTTTTATGGGGACTCACGAAAATAAAAGTGAGACTTGTAAAAGCAGTGTCCTATGTTTCTATTGGCGACCAACTCCGGAAAAAAATATTCATTTAAAAAAATGAAGTTTTCCAGCTTTGGATGTGCAGAGAAGTCATATGGAAGTGACCTGAGGCTCCCTGTTTGTTTTCTCAGGCCAGAAATTTGGTTGCAAAGACAGATGATTCCATGTGAAGGAAACAGTCTAGCTTTTCTATTTATCCATGGGCATCTGGGGTTTTAAGACGTCCGCCAACACCCTAAGTTGGTACAGGAGAGTGAGGTAGGGGTAGGTTAAATCCCATGACACCAAATGCTGCTTCATGAAAAATCTCTGAGCAACGAAAAATATGTTAAACCTTGTAGCTTGTTTAGAGAAATAGTCCATGCAGTACAATTTCAGTGCAAACAAACAAACAAAAGCCTGGAGGCAATTGGTGTAATTGAAATTGATTGGTTTTCAAAATTTGAATTCAGAGTACGACAATATTTTCTCTGTAGGATGGAAGGGTTTGTTCTGCCTCCTGTCCAAGTCTGGAAGGTCAGGATCCTTTCTTTGGAACCTCCCCCACCACCTGCATACCCCAGCTCAGTGTGGAAGGACAGGTTGTAGATAGAAGCCAGTGCCCTGTGATGATGCAATATGAGAGAATTCTCTTCATCCCTAAGATCAGCACTGTGGTATCTATTGCTTTAGTGTTTTGAGGGCTTCCCAGAATGCTTCTGCTCCTTGTTACCTGCATTTTAGAAATGGCATAGTTTAGTGAAGGAGTCAGTCTATATCTCTAGTGACCAAAAATGACACTAATGCGACATCAGATAATGAATTTGCATCAACCTGTCCTTGCAGCCTCAGTCTCCATTACCTAGATGAGGATTGCAGGACAGATGTTGTCTAGGAGAACATTCCAGAAGGCTGTTTATCCTTAGGCACAATTGAAACAATCCAGAGGTCCCTTTTGTTCTGAAGATGGGGGATAGGGGCTGGTTTAAGGCCACTTGGCTTGCTTTGGGTGGCTCTAGTAGGCTCTGGCTGGCCTTGCCATACTGTACACTGAAGAACATAATTGTGTACCAGATTCTGAAGCTGAAAGAGCAGCCCAAGCACTTGAGACCTTGTTATGGTGATAAATGGGTTTCTGGGAAAACTGACGTCATTCTCCATGCCTCCCTCCTTCCAAGCCAGTGAAGCTCTTATTTATGTGGCATTTGTCTCTCTGTTCTCTTTTGTGTCTGCAAAAAGTTGTAATTCACTAGGAGAAGATGGAATTAACTCAAGAAACTTTGAGTGGCTGGTTGCTGCTGATTTCTTACAAGGAACACGCATCTATGGTTTGGGAGGAAACTTGTGAGTAAGCCAAAGTATGGCTGGTTAGGAGTCTTTTTTTTTTTTTTTTGGTATTGAGAATCGAACTCAAGACTTAGTGCTTGTCAGGCAGGACCTTGTGCCACTGAGCTATATCCCCAGCCATAGCAGTACTTTTCAATTATCTCTAAGACATGGTGTCATGCAAGTAGCACTCCACTGTATGTCTGTGTGTGCATGTGCGCCAGAGGCAGTTAAGAGTTGCCTTGGCTAAATATCCTTTGTGGTTATAGAGGCCTAAAAGTCATCAGGTGGGGCCTATATTTGGGCATGAATGCAACCTGGAAGTTCAGTTCTTGTGTGCACTATTCATTTCCTTCCCATTTGAATGAACACAAAGGATTCTATATGACAGCCCTGTTTAACCACCATGTCCATGGGTACTTATTTGTATTTATTTGTTTGACAGATGTGTCCAGCATTATGGCTAGTTCTTGTCTACTGTCTTAATTTTTTTCATTGCTCAGACCAAATACCCAACACCCATAGTTAAAGGAGGAAAGGTTTATTATAGCTCACAGTTTGTAGAGGTTTCAGTTTATAACCAGCTGGATCCAGGGCAGGATGATTGAGCAGAGGAACATTGGTGAAGAAACAATTCATGGGGCCGGGGAGATGGCGCAGTAGAATAAGTGCTTCCCTGGCAAGTGCAAGGACCCGAGTTCAATCCCCGGTTCTACAAAAAAAAAAAAAAAAAAGAAAGAAACTATTCGTGGCAGGCAGAAGGCAGGAAGGCCACTAAGTAGCAAGCAGCAAGTGATAACAGCAGCCTTCTTTCTGTTCCTTATATTTTATCCAGGTTATCCAGGCTAGTTTATTAAGATGGGTAGCACTGCTTGGGAGATAGCTCAGTAGAATAAGCACCTGTCTGGCAAGTGCAGGGTCCTAAGTTTAATCCCTAGTACCACAAAAAGAAAGAAAGAAAGAAAAAAGATGGGTGGCTCTCACACCCAGGGTGGGGCACCCTTAATCATAGCATTATACCATGAATCAATTCCAGCATCTTTTTTTTTTTTTTTTTTTTGCAGAAGCGGGGATTGAACTCAGGCCCTTATGCTTGCCAGGGAAGCACTTATGCTACTGAGCCATCTCCCCAGCCCCAATTCCAGCATCCTTAATCTCAGCATCACACAGTCTAGATCCAGCTACTTCCAAAAAGCTCCGCCTATGACTGCATGAGGCTTTGAGCAGACATCTAGATATAATCCATAAGATCAACTATACAAAAAATAATAATGGACTTGGTTCATGGCTTTTAAGCTTCCAGTCTAGTTGGAGCAACAAATTGTGGACAGTGAAATAATTAGAAAACTACCAAAGATCACTGGGGTGCCCCACCCCCCACTTACTGCCTTTCAAGTGGCTTGGATTGCTACTAATATGTAGTCTGAAGGTTACATGAGTCATCCCAGGTAGCCTTGCAAGGCTCAGAGCAGGGTCTAAAAGCCACATCTGCTATCTCGTACACTGAATTGTTCCTTTCACTATTGTGTTTTAGAGTCATACTGTAAGTGCTGGCCCCCAGAAAGAACAGTCTGGTTGAGTCTGGCTTGATCCAGTCCCACAAAGGGTACAATGTTGGTTTTTCCAGAGGCCATCCAGCTAATAATGGTCATTATCCCAAATGAAAAAACTTACAGGAGCTACAAAGTTAGCTGGGGTTGGCCTGGGGCATCTAAGAGCAATTGCGTGCCCTGGAAGGGAAGATTGCTGCTGTAGTCTGGTCTTCCTAGAAAATGATAGTTACCTTTTGATTCCCCTTCAAGCGCCCTGCTCAGCTGACCCTACCCACTAAAGGTAATATTTTATACTCCAGGCAAGGAAAACAAAGCCCCAGTACTAGCTGTAGCTCTGCTGGGGATATAGCACTGAAGAAAGTTTACATGGCTCCAGATATTTAAAATTGTTGACTCTCAGTTGAGGGCATCTGAACAGTCATGATACTATCTTCCAACTTTTCTGTGTTTGAGATTTTTCAAAATAAAAAGTTGGAGGAGCATCACAGTGCCCCCCAAATTCAGAAGGCCCCTTCTCTCAAGGAGTGTGCAAATTAGTGCCAAAAGTAGACATAAATCCTCATGTCATTATTATTGTGCTGTATGCAACACAGAGTTCTACTTGTCATGAAAGTCTACGACAAGGGGACCCAATCCGGCAGTGGATGGAGGCGGTAGGTGACAGGAAAGGCTTCCTGAGGGCTTCAAATAGGAAATGGGTAGGTGTGAAGATGGGTGAGATCTTGCTTCTGCCACCGGGTTGGGAACATTTCATTTGTTAATTCCCCCACTGCTATTTTCATTCATCTATTTAACATTTATTTATTGGGCACAGATTCTGGCAGGCCTTGTGCCAAGTTCTAGGGATATAATGATGGCTAGGTCATGCAAGGACTCCATCCTCTTCCAGATGAGAGGCAGCAATAAGCCCTGTTTCCTGTTCCTGTTCTAAATCCTGGAAAGATGTGTTAGTGGTGTGTTTATTACAAAGCTGTATCACAGCAGAGTGATGTGTCTGTGTAGTAAAATGAGATTTCAGTCTGCAGTCATATGCATAGTATTTACTTTGTGGAGTCTCTGCTTTAAATTTTCTATTAATTGCGAGCTTTGTAACCCAGCATGCCTCCTTCCTTGGTGCACTGTAAGGAAACAAACCCATTGTAGTTGCCTGTGCAAAACTAACTAGGAAGCTGAACCCTGTAGAAATGGCATTCCAAAATGAAATAGG